TCTGGTTACGATTTGGGCACCTGTCCTCCATATTGCTGCCACTGGAGCCAGGTTGGCTCTTAGCTGCTGCTAAGACCTTGGACAAATTAACTTCTCTGTGGCTTTTGATACCCACTTGGAAAATGGTACAAATATTACCTCTTACCTTATAGGTTTTCCTTGAGTATTATTAAATAAATTAAGTACTGTAAAACCCTTAAATATATTAGTATTTAGAGAGCTTAGAACACCACTTGGTACATAAGTATTTTTACAATATTATAATTATACTCACCTGATACTATGGATCAAACTAAATGTTGTGCTCAGGCTCTCTTAAGAATTTTCTTAAGCATGGGTATTTCCTTCTTCTGTGAGCATTTATCATGCAATAGGATACAGTTTCTAATGGTTCTCATGTATTCTTTAATACTGAAGTATGTTGAAAGCAGCCCGATGAATTATTTTATCATTTGAGCCATCAATCTGGCTGTAGCTTTTCTGTAAATCCAGATTTTCACACCTTAGACTGCAAAAGTAATACAAGAAACTGTGAGCCCCTAAAGAGCACAGATTAAATCTTTTCCATCTTCATGTCTGCAGCAGTACCCAGTAGGTGTCTCAAAAATTGATGTACACTTATAATTCATTGTCTGTCTTTTCAGTAGGAATGAAATACTTTCTTTGGGGAGAAGTCTTCAAGCTTGGTACTTATTTGCAGTTAGTCAGTGTAAGGTTGCAAAATTTCTTCTCTACCATGGTGGTAAAGCAAATGATTCCTTTTGGGCTCAGCTCAGGTGCCAGAGAGACCCAGCTGATATTTATACTACTGCATAATCCCAGGAACTTTTAAACATCATGAGCAATTCTCATTTTTTTCACTCTACAGGACTTGATATCTAACTTTATGTTACTGTAATAATTCCTCTTGATATTGAGTTTCTTCTGTGGAATAGTAAAGAATTTGAATTTTCTACCAACCATGGTTATTCCTCTAGTGGTGTATTCCTGGGAGAAGAATGGGAGAAGTGGTATCTAAAAGGGAGAAGTAACATTCTTTTCTCTGCAGACATAGTACTTCAAACACGGCAGATATCCCTTTTGTTTTCTTACACAGTTTTGTTTAAAATATTTTTGTAATGAAGAGTGCGACTCTATTTTTTGATGTTTAACTGACATCTTTTAAGCCTCATCTCTCCCTCTTGGCCATCTGTCCCACATATGGGCCTGAGTGATCTTTCCTTTGTGCCTGTGGAACTTCAAACCATGAGGAACTTCAAACCCTTGCCGTAATCACCCTCCCTAGTCACCCTAAAAACCTCACACCAGTCTTTTCCTGCTCTCTCAAGCCATTTTTGAGCCTGCTTGGGAGCTACCCTGTTCTCCCCAGAAAGCCTTATTATATGATTAATAAATCTTTTCATACCTTCCTGGTGTCTCTGTGCACATTTAAGTCAGATTTGAATAGGGGTTCATCCAGACCCAACAATGTATGTGCAACAATTTTACTAAATGTTTAATGCATACAAAAGAATGTTTTTATGTTTAAAGTATAAAAGCAGCAAATTTTAAAAAAGTTCTAGACCTAGGGGCGCCTGGGTGGCTCAGTTGGTTGGGCGACTGCCTTCAGCTCAGGTCATGATCCTGGAGTCCCGGGATCGAGTCCCGCATTGGGCTCCCTGCTCAGCAGGGAGTCTGCTTCTCCCTCTGACCCTCCCCCTTCTCATGCTCTCTCTATCTCATTCTCTCTCTCACATAAATAAATAAAATCTTAAAAAAAAAAAAAGTTCTAGACCTATCACCCAACCTAAGAAATAGAATGTTACCATTAAATTTTGAAGTGCTTTTCCCTGATTTCAGGCCTCACCCTGCATAAACCAGTTCCCTACCCTAACTCATCAAGGCGTTTTGGATATTTGATTATCACTCCCCTGATTTTATTTTTGCATTTTAACTACAGATACACGTATTCCCAAGTTATATATTATCTTGTATTATGTGTTTATTTACTCAATATAGATGAAATCATGCACTATAGACTATTTGGGTAGTTTTTCTTGTTGATATTATGTTTGGAAGTTTGGATTCACACAGCTGCATGAATTCATATTCTCTACTGTATTATATGTCCATAGTGTGAACAAATTACAAATAATTTATGGATTCTTCCCTTATCTTTTGATCTTATGTATAATATTGCATGTAAACCTTCTTGTACATAAGCTCTGGTGAAAATGTGCAAGGGTTTCTCCAGCATATATGCCTAGGAGTGGAATTTCTTCATCATACCATATCCACAATTTAACTCTATTTGATGATGACAGATTGATTTCCAATTTCATATCTAACTATTTGGATAAACAATTTTTATGGCACCATTTATTGAAAGGCTCTTAACCCACTGATCCGATCCATGTTATCACTTCTGTCATAAATCAAGTTTGCATGTATGAGTTCTCTGTTCTGATATATCAATCTGTTTTTATATGTTTCCAGACAGGTACAATTTGGCCTTATGAAGATAGTTATAAGCCTTGATATCTAATAGAACAAGATTCCTGCTTTATTCTTTTTCTTCAGGAGTGTCCTAACTATTCTTGGGCCTTTGTTCTTCCATAGAAGTTTTGGAAACAGCTTCTTGAGTCACCAACCAAGAAAACAAAACAAACACCCAAAACTTCTTAGACTTTTAACTGGGATTGAATTGAATCTATAAATCAGTTTGAGGAGAAGTGACATCTTTGCAGTGTTGGGTCTATGTATATATAAACATAGCATAACTACCCATTTATAGAAGTCCTTCAAGAAAGTATGACCATTTTCCTCAAGAAGGTCCTACACATTTTTGGTAAGAGTTATTCCTAACTACCTCATTTTTATATACTATTGTAAATGTAAATCTTTTTTCTTAGGTTTTATATTTTAAAAGCTATGTTTTGATGGTGTATTTAAAGGACTTGTATGTCTTGATTTTGATTCCAAATACAGTAACTGCACAACATTGTCATTCCAGTAATTTATCTATAAATTATTGTTTTTTTTCTCTACATCTTTGAATAATAACAGTTCTGATTCTTCCTCTCCAGTCCTTGTAACTTTTAACTCTTTCTCTTGCCTTTCACTGGCTAGAACCTCCTGTACAGTGTGGCTACCTAGTGCTGGGAATGAGACTGGAGAATGGCTATAAATGGACACGAGGGTTTTTTAGGGTAATGGAAATGTTCTAAAATCAGGTTGTGATGATGGTTGTACAACTATAAATATAATAAAATTAATTTAATTATATACTTAAAATGGGTGAATTTTATGGTGTGCAAATTATATCTCAGTGAGGCTGCGTAAAAAAAACAAAACAACAATAAAAGCAGCTGATGTTCCATGACAGTACTCTGACTGACCGGCATCTGAACCTAGACCATTTGGTGTCAAGGTCCTGACTGATTAGTCCCTGCATATGAGGCTGCTCTGATGCTTGCATAGCAGGTAGGATAGTAAAGGGGCAGGAGACACGTGCAAACAAGTCACCGAATGCCTGCCATCTACCCAGACTGCAGTGCAGGTACCAACCGGCCACAGTCATTGGCCACCACAGTACTGAGGTCATGGACTCGAGTGCAGTAGCCATGGTGGCACAGATGAAGGCTCTGCGTGGGCACAAAAGCATGGCATCCCTCATCAAAACTGACCTTGCTGCTGCTTCCACCCTCCCTGTCAACCACAGACACTGACGCCAAGCCCTTTTAGTGTGTGACTCTTTGAGGAGACCAACCAGTCACTTAGTGGCACGTGATTACATCAGACCCCTTCATGATGGGGCAGCAATTCATTCTGATGTGTTTTCTAAGTGTGCATTTACTTTTCCTGCCTGTATCAACTTGGTCAGTACCTCTATTCAAGGACTCACAGGATATCTGATTTACTGACATGGGATCTCCCACCTGTCACTTCAGATCAAAGGACCCAATTTATGAAAAAAGAAGTTCTGCAGTGGGTAGATGCCTGTGGGATTAACTGGTCCTGCTACATCCCACATCATCCATAAGCTGCTAGCCTGATAGAGCAATGAAATGGTCTCAGAAACACAGCTGAAGCAACAGTTTGGAGGTGATATCCTACAAAGGTATTCCTTCAGGATGCCGCGTATAGATTAAAGCAGAGGTTGGCAAACTGGTTCCAAGGCCAAATCAGGCTTGCTGCTGTTTTACAAACATAATATTATTGGAATACAACCACACACATCATTTATGTATTGTTTGTGGCTCCCGTCATGCTACATCAGCAGGATTAAGTAGTTGTGTCAAAGACTGTATGGTCCACAAAGTCTAAAATAGTTACTGTCTGGCACTTTACAGAAAAAGTTTGCCACTTTTTCCTTAAACCACTGATGATTGTATGGTTCTGTGTTACTGCTGGGAACCAAGGAGTGGGAAGGATGGCTCTGTTCCAGCAACCCACTTGGGAAGCTTTGGCTTCCAGTTTTGGAAACTTCAGGCTCTTTAGTTGAAGAACTAGAGGTCTTGGTTTCTAGAAAGGGGACACTTCACTAGGGGAAACATTAATAGTTCCACTAAACTTAAGGCTGTGGCGGCCATTGATCATTTTGTGCTCATTGTACCAGTAGACTGGCAAGAAGAGAAAAGAGTTACCATACTTGAAGGGGTAATTGACTTTGATAACCATGAGGAGGTGGGGTTGCTGCTATGTAATGGTAGTAGGGAAGAATATATTTGGCACACATGTGAACTACTGGGTTATCTCCTGGTAATCCGAACCTCAGTTTTCACTGTAAATTGGCAAATAGAGCTCAACTGTGGCCAGACAACAGCAGGGTAACCAAAATCTCAGACTCCTCAGGTGACAGACAGTACATGCAAGCCACCCAGACCAGCAGAAGTGCCGGCACAAGGTGAGGGGAATGTAGGCTGGGTAGTAAAGAAAGGAAATGATCAGTGTCAGTTCTGACCTCAGAACCAACTGTGGCCGTGGAGGCTGTAGTTTATCGCACTAACTTCTCTTTTAAGTTTTCGTAGAAATTGTGACCAATCAGAATCCTGAAGTTGCAGAAGAATGGAGTGAACCTAATGTGTAAAGCAAGTGACCTGAATTGTGCACGGGGGTAGAGCACAGCAGACAATGTTGGTGCTCTGTCCAGATCTCCTTTTGTTGGCTCGGTGTACTCATTCTTCTCCAACTGCCGCATGTGATGCTACTGATGCACCCGCACCATTTTCAAGAGGCTTGCCTCCGGGAGATTGGAGCAGCATCATCAGGAGATAGCTGGAAGTTACGCACTACTTATCCCCCTAGCAGCCTGTAAGGCAGTGACTGCCTAATGCGTGAGATGGAGGTGCAAAAACCTCATTCCCCTGCTCTGAGGTGGGAAAGACCGTGGTGTGGTGTATGCGTCAGAGCTCCTGGAGATTTGGGGCTGAGGCTAGACCCAGCTAAAACCACAGTCTTGCTTTGCTTCTGCCATTGGTCTCTTCTGTTGCCCCTCATTCCCTTACAGATTTTTTTTTTCTTTTTTCTTCTACAGTTTTGAGTTTGAACCTTAAAAGATGCTGTTGATACGTGGATTGGTCTAAAACAGGCCGCCTGGGGTTGTGTTTGGGCCAAGATTTCTCATGTAATTATGTAATGTCTCTCTTAATAAAAAACTTGATTATATCTTTTCTGCTTTGTAAAGTTTGTTCTGTATTTTTCCCCTAATGTCTAAGGTTGGAATGCTTTTAGTTCATTAATTTTGAGCCTTTTGTGTGTACTTAGGAATATACAATTACCCATTTTCTTCAAAGTAAGACTTTAGCAGCCAGCATCTCACAAGTATTGAATATGACATTCTTTATCATTCAGTTCAGAGAATTTTCTGATTTCCATTATGACTTTTGACCCACAAATTTTTAAATTTTCAAACACATGGAGGTATTTTCTACTTGTCTATTATTGATTTGTAACTTAATTTTATGGTTGTCAAGTATGTGTTCTGTATGATACTGATTTTTAAAAATTTACTGACATTAGTTTTATGCACTATCATAAATATTGTGTGCTTGGAAAGAATGTACATTCTGCAGCTGTTGAGCACAGTATTTTATACACATGTGCACACACACACATAGACATATATGCTTTTCATTAAACTTGTTAATTGTGTTGCTCAGATTCTTTATATTCTTATTTTTTGGTCTATTTAATTTACTATGAGAAATTAGTTAAAATCTTCCTCTGTGATAGTGAAATTGTTTATATGTTTTGAGACTATGTTACTAAGTACATAAAGTCTAGGATTGTTACATTTTCCTGATGAATCGAAACTTTTATCATTATATAGTGATCATCTTTATCTCTAGAAATGCTTTTTTGCTTTAAAGTCTATTTTGTATGGTATTAGTATCGCTATACCAGATTTCTTTAATATTTTCCTAGTCTAGTTTTCCCATGCTTTGACTTTCACACTTTTTCTGTCCTTTGTGTCCAAAGAGCAGAGAATTGGATTAGTTTTTTTTGCCTTTTTATTTTTATTTAAATTCAATTAATTAACGTATAATGTATTATTAGTTTCAGAGGTAGAGGTCAGTGATTCATCAGTCTCATATAACACCCAGTGCTCCTTACATCACGTGCCCTCCTTAATGTCCATCACCCAGTTACCCCATACCCCCAGCCACCTCCCCTCCAGCAGCCTTAAGTGTGTTTCCTGTGATTAAGAGTCTCTCTTACGGTTTGTCTCCCTCTCTGATTTCGTCTTGTTTTATTTTTTCCTCTTTGAGAATTGGATTATTTTTAATCCAGTCTGACAGTCATTGACTTCAAATTGAATAGTTTAGACAATTTCCATTTATTTGGGTCAGTTTTATATTTGGTATAGTAGATATCATCAACATAGTCAGTGACCCTTCCTAACCCCCTCCTTATAAGCCCTGTCTCTTCTAAGCCTATCCCTATTGAAGTATTATAACCCCATTGACATCTAAGTCTATTAAGAGACTTGGCCTTAATGATGATGATTTTTTTTAACCAATTAAAAGTGAGTAGAAATAAATGTACTACTTCTGAATAGTAGCTTGTAGAGTCACAATGTTATTCTGAGTTTTTCTGTGTCACCATACCTGTAGGTTCCAGACTGAAGCCATTCCTTCAGTCTTGGTTCCAGATTGACTATCGAAGGCCAAAGATTGGCATGCAGTATGTGTGAGAAACAGATTCCATAAGTCACTGAGATTTGGGGATTACTTATTAATGCAGGATAACCTTACAAGATCTGATGCTTGAACAAAACAGAGTAAAAAATCTGCTATAACATTCACTCCCCCAAAACTTAACTACTAATAGCCTACTGTTGACCAGAAGCATTATCAATAACATAAGCAGGTGATTAACATATATTTTATATGTTATATGTATTTATTTCTTGAAGCTAGAGAAAAAATGTTATTAGAAAATCATAAGGAAGAGAAAATACATTTACAGTACTGTACTGTAAGAAATCTGTAGATAAGTGGACACATGCCATTCAGACCCATGTTGTTTTAGGGTCAACTGCACATTTAAATTTATTTCTACCCTATTATTTGCTGTCCTTTATTGCTCTCTCTCTGTATTCCCTTTTGTCTTCCATTGTACTTTCTTCTTGATTGATCTTTAATTTTTTCATTCCTTTTCTCCCCTAAGAGTTTAGAATTATAGTCTATATTCTTTTATTTTCCTATATATTTTAACTTGTATACCAGTGTCCATTAGGATAGACTATATTATGGACTTGGAATAAACCCAAATTCTTAGTGCCTTAGAACTATAAAGGTTTCCATGCTCCCTCTGCACTATAGGCTGATGGAAGATTGACCATTTGAGAGCATCAGTGATAGTAGCAAGATCAGAGAATGGACAGTTTGTGGTCGTGCTTAAATACATCTGCCTTGGATCACTTCCCATAGATCACTGGACAAGAGTTACATGACCACACCCAAATTAGGGGGACCAGGGAAGTGCAATCCTCTTATGTGAGTAGAAGGAAAGGAAAACTTGAAATACTGGTGAGAAGATATAATGTTGACCATAGTTTGCTTTTCTGCTTACCAAATGTTTGGGTCATTCTTTCTCTCATGTAAATTAAGCTTACTCCCACCTCAAAGGAGAGCCGCCCCAAATTCCCATTTAGTCAGAAAGTTTAGCTCAGGACCAGGTTTCCTCTATATTGTAGGGTAGCATGGATACACAACAATCTCTGCAACAGATCTGGATGTGCTTACTCTTGATACAAACCCTTTGAGCCAAAAAGAAAAATTGGGTTTGTTACATGTTCCCAGTATACAGTGATGAAACAGGCATGGTATAAATAGAAAAGTACTTCCATTTGGAAAAGACTGTGATACATGGCAATCACTGGTCCATAGCAGTTTTGAAATTCTGGTGGGCACATATGGTTAAAGCCCTCCATCTTTGGGGTGGGAAGAAAGTGAAGGGACTTCTTTCCCCATTGTTCTCTGTGGCCCTGACTCTACCTTCTGGAAATTTCTTCCTTTTGTATTATTCTTCTTGGCCCCATTTGAAATAGAGGGCAGTAGAATCTCCTTGTGGGCCATGCAGTTTTCTCAGCCTTTTGTTACCCTACTTCCTCTGGCAATAAAATGCCTCGAAACTTAATAGACTTTATTTCAGTCAGCTGTATGTGCCAATATCCATATCTGCATTTCTTTATCAGTGCGCTTTCTTAGAGTGTTATATTTCTCATATCTGACATATATTCCCATGTCCCCACCCCCTTTAATATCAGATAACTTGAGTCTATTGGATGTCACTGGGAAGAACACATACTTTTGCTATTTACTCTGAGTGATTTTATCTAAATGAACAATTTGCTGGATATCACACCCTTAATTTGCTTTTTGCCCTGAAGGTCTCAATCCATCCAGTGGTTTTCACAAAGTTATAATGAACACTGATTTGACCTTTGCTTCAAGGCCGAGTTATAATTAGCCTTTGTTGCTCAAAGATTTTCTTACATTTAGCTTTGACATTTTAGGGTGGTGAGGAAGTTTTCTTTTCCATCTCTGAAAGTCCATGAGTTTTCACATTCTCTCTACTCCCTTTTATTCCTGTTTGTAAACATACAAATTATTTCCTGAACCCAGGAAATGGCCAAATGCAGCTAATTACCAACACTCACTCGTAAAGTTTGTTTTCCAACTTCTTCCCTTAGAGCCACATATAACTTTATTAGGTACATGGTAGGTCTCCCAACTTAGGGCAGATGACTTTTTACCAAACATTTTGATATTACATGTTGCTCACCTTCAATACACATTTCCCCACTGCTTTCAGTACTAGTGCTTGTTTCTTTTGGGATAAAGTATATTGTTATATGAACAACCCTAAATTCCCAGAAAGAACCAAGACTTCATCCTCACTCATGGCCCACAGGCTATTGAGGGTTCAACAGGAATAGTCTAGTCACTGGTCACAGCAGCAAGGGACGAGAGAATGGATACTCTAACTTATAAATACTTCCTGGAAGTGATACTTTGTCCATATTTCATTGATCAAAGCTAGTTTCATGGCCAAGGCTAACTTCCAGTAGGCAAGGAGGTACAGGCCCCCAACATTCCCCAAAGGAGAGGAGAATCATAAATACTGAGGAGTAGCATTACTGTCTGCAACAAAATAAAAGTTATCTTAAGCCTCTTCTAAAATAATATAAGGGCATTAGAAAACTTTAAATCTGATTTTCCAAACATATATTTCCCAGGATATTTATTTTTTTAAAAAATGTTCTCCCAAATTAGATATTATTTTAATGCTGTTTTCTCCAGTCAGTATTTATTTAGATTCATTCATATATTTACCACTTTATTCTCCCATATCACATTTTATTAGATTCAGTTTCTTTTTGTGTGTGTGACATAAAGACTTTAGAGTCCTTCAACTGAGTCTGTTAGTAGCAAATTATTTTTGTTTGTCTGAAAAGTTTTATTTCACCCCTTTTCTTCTAAGTGAGAATTCTCTTGCGTACTCAGTACTAGGTTTTCTCAGATTTTGAAGGTGTGATTTCCCTGTCTTATGGCCAGTACCACTGTTGTTGAGAATTCAGCTGTTTGTAAAACTGCCAGTACTTTGTATCTACTCGCCTTTCTTTCTAGCTTCTTTTATGTTCTTCTTTTCTTTTCCCTCCTGTAAATGCAGTACAGTGTGTCTCAGTGTGGAAGTCTAATTTATCCAGCGTGAGATTTGGAAATCTTAATCTGAGCTTTCTTATCTTTCATCAGTCTGGAAATTTTTCAGCCTGCATCTCTAGATGTATTCCTTTACCAATTCTGTCTGGAAACTCTGATTAGATATAAGATAGGTCTTCTTACTCTAATGTCTAGGGATTTTTCACCTACCTTCTAGTATTTATCTTTTTGTCTTTTACTCTACTTTGGTCTTGGATAATTTCTATTACTTTCTTGTTAGGACATCTATATGCATATAAAAAGTTGGGAGGATTAAAAAAAACTATCCAGGTGTTTAATTTAGTTTGCAATATGAGCGTGGAACTGGATATATAGTTTACCATACTGTCAAGTATGGAATTGAATTTTCCATTTTTTTTGCTTGCTTTCTTATTTATTCTGTTACTTTTATTTATTTTTATTCTTTTTTTTTTAAATTCTGTTACTTTTAAACAGATACTCTA